GACTCGATGAAACTGCTACTACCTGTTTCCTGAGGCCCTGCAAGCTGAGCTTATTCCTTGTTATACACGTGAGAAGAATATGTCAGGTCGCCAGTGCCTTCTTTCTCTATAACTAAAGGTTCTTTGAGTCTAACATCTGGATAAATTGTGCCCAACATAAAACTTCATTTTTCTTCTGTCTCTATAGAAATACCTCTTATTAAAAATCAATTTGCCTTCATCACAGACAGAAGTCAAGACCATCTAAGATGCTATCTCCTGATATGGGAAACAGCTGTTTAACTGAGCTGATCTAGTTTCAGGACTAGTCTGCAGTTCATTTAAGTGCTGTGCTAAAACTGTTGATAAGGATATTAACATCTTTGTCACATAAGCCTAGGAATACTAACTGGGAACCCCATGAGTACATGCAAACAGCTGCAAAGTGGTTTTATTTTTATTTCCCTTGTGAATAACCCATCTCAACCCCCAACTATGCCTCTTGTCAACAGGAAGAAGCTAGAGTGATCATCAGCCTTTTCCCATCTTTATAGCCAACACCATAAGAGTAAGGTGCTATGGAACCCAAAGCAGGGTTTAAAACTACCTTTGCAAATTATATCAGGGAAAAAATTATGACAGTAAAAGAGATCTAATTTACCTGCTCCCCCCAATCTTGCATTTCCCTTCAACATTCCTAAGCTTAGGCTAAGCTAACTTTGAGAGACATTTAGTTTATATGACTTTTATCTTATTTTATTTTGTTATTTTTATAGAGATGAGTTATCCATAAATTTCCCAGGTTTGTATCAAACTCCTGGATTCACGCAATCCTCCCACTTTGGCCTCCCAAACCTCAAGGATTACAGGAATGAGAATGTACCCAGTCTATATGACATTTAGTTTTAAATGATAATAGGCCTCCCCAAAGACTCAACCACCTTTGTAGATCTAATGAAATATTATCAGGCTAGGGGGAGGAGCTAAGGTGTGGTCTGATCACAACATCACTACTATAGATTGCCCTTTTGAGATATTTGTTCAGGTTTTTGCCTGTCCAAAACCTGGACCTGATTGCTGCTGTGGTTCCACATGGGAGGACTCAGCTTAAGAGGATAGTTTTGCTCTCCTACAATTTTATCTCTGCCTGAACCAATCAGCAGCAAGTGGCCATTACCTGGCCACCCCATCCCTTCTCTCAAACTGTCTTTGAAAAAATGCTAACCTAAAAGCCTGAGATGAGATTGATTTGAGTAACAGCCCCATCTTCTGTGTCGTATGGCGCGCCTTGTGTGAATTAAACTTTTCTTTAGCGCAATGCTATGGTCTTTATTTATGCAGTGGGAAGGAAGAACTGATCAAGCAATTATACTTCTACTCTTGTCTTATTTGGTCTATTCTCTATACCTTAGTCAGAATGACCCAGTAAAACTGAAAAGAAGACAAAGTCATTTCTCTGCTCAGAATTTTTCAATGATTTGCTATTTTTCTTAAATAGAAGCCAAAATATTTGACAACCTACAAAATGCTTTGCAATCAGTCCCACTTCCAGCCCAACCCTACCTTGTTATTTTCATGACCTCATCTCATATTATAGCCTCTTTCATTCATTGTCCTCTGGCTACATTTTCTTGCTTACTTGTCTTCCTGAACATGCCAAGCATTCTCCTGCCTGGAAGTCTACTCTGGTTGTTCTCTTTGTTCACATTGCTCTTCACCCAAATAGCCACATGGATATCTCTTTTCCTGCAGATTTCTGTTCAAATTTGATTACTTCAGTGAGCTCTTCCTCAACTACTCTGTATAAAACAGCCAACTATTAACCACTTCCCTTAAGATGACAGCAAGAATAAGGAAAGGAAAAAGGAAAATAAATAAAAGCACAAAAGATTATCCACTTTCCTTTCCCATTCCTATATTCTCTAATCTTCCATGCTTTATTTCTATCATTAACTTTTTATTATGATATATAATTTATGTACTATAATATACACTACTCTTAAGTATTTGCTTTTTCTCCTTAGCTCTTATGTCTTCTGTAATAGTATATACTTTACTTCTATTTAGTTAGTGATTTATTATTTGAGGCAGGATCTCAATTCTGTCACCCAGGCTGCAGTGCAGTGGTTTAATCACAGCTCACTGCAGCCTCAACCTCCCAGGCTCAAGCAGTCCTCCCACCTCAGCCTCCTGAATAGCTGGGACTACCAGTTTACACCACCACAGTTGGATATGTTGTTTAAAAAAAAATTGTAGAGATGGCATCCCCTTATGTTGTGCAGGCTGGTCTTTAAGTCCTGGGCTCAAGCGATCCTCCACCTCTGCCTCCCAAAGTGCTAAGATTAAAGGCATGAGTCATCACACCTGGTCATATTTATTTGTTTACTTATTTACTATATATCTTCCTAAATTCAATTTAAAAATGACAAGGGCAGACATTTTGTTTGTTTTATTTGTAGAGAACCCACGGTTTTTTTAGTAACTTTCTGGTGAAGAATTTAACATGCATTTTCTCATTTAATCCTCACGTTAATGAATTATTTCCTCCACAGAAAAAAGGAAAAACTCAAACTTACTATATTTAAAATAATGGGCATTAATCATATTGCCAGTAAGTAGTGATGATAGTGATGACCAGTGTGGAGCAGCTGCTGCAAGGACGCTGGCTGCAGAGCGTGAGACATGGACAGGGTTGTGTGCTCTGCAGTGCTGGTAGGAGCTAGGAGCAGGCTAGAGCCAAGACCCCTACTTAGTTGATGGGGCAGAAGCCCGTGCTCCCTAGCACAGCTGCAGTCACCCAGCTTTGGCTCTGGACTCCAGCATCGCTGCACTCTCAGGGACCCAGGAAGCTCCTCGCCATCGCAGGTTTGGAGGTACCTGCTCTTGCTCCCTGGCCTCTCCCCACTTCTAGCACCCACTCTAGCATGGGACAAAGTTGTGACCAAGCCTGGGTGCTGTTGTAGCTTGACCAAGTGTGCGGGCACTTAGGGCAGCACTAACATACCAGCTTCCTACTGCCTCAACCTCCTCCAGATTTCGGGCACCAGGAGGGAGGCTGGCCAGGGGTGGGTGGTGAGAGTGGCTCAGCATGGGCCTGCGGCACCCCTCAGCACAAACAGCGTGGGCACTGTGGACAGCATGCTGATGGTGGCAGGTGGCAGGTGGCAGACAGGCCCTTTGGTGGAAAGGGGTGCATCCCAGGTGAAACCCCACCTTCAAGGCAGGGATGGCCTGAAGCCATCAGTTGTCAGTTCTAGCTGGAGTCCACTTCCCACAGTGAGAACTTACGGTGCTTTTTTTGGGCCTGTCAATAACAGCTCATGAACAAATGAGAGCATATTTCCTCCCTTCTGAGCCCATTAAAACCCTGCACTCAGCCAGACTCGGACATATGTCGGGACTACCAGCTATGGGAAGGAACTACCTACTTCAGGTCTCCTGGTGTCATAAGGATGACCTGTCTGCAGAAAGGAGCGACCCACTAGGGGACTCCTCTGAGCTGTTCTGTTGCTCAATAAAGCTCTTCTCCACCTTGCTCACCCTTCAGCTGTCCGCATACCTCATTTTTTTAAGAGGCAGGACAAGAAGTCAGGACCAACTGAATGGTGGGAATGAAAGAGCTGTAACACAAACAGGGCTGAAACTCCCCCCTGATCGCCATGCTGAGGGCAGTGAAAGGAGAGAAGAGCTGAAGAGGTCCTTTGGGGATGCCAGACCTAGAGGCTCCCCGAGTCAGGGTTTTGATACCCTCTTTGGGGCTCTGTGGTTCCTTGTGTCTGGAAGTTTCTGGGTACCACCACATTCCCCTCATCCGGGCACAGTGCCCCACAGTGGAAGCTGCTTGTGGTACATCTGATCCAGCCACAGCCTTACACAGATCTGGCACTTGTGCTGGTGACTGGAGCTGTCCACTCTGCTGCAGCAGCCAGCATGCCTGGTTGTGCACAGTGTGTGGACCCCACGCTCACTTTTTCACATACCCCTTGCCACACCGTGCCTGGCTTACCCTTGGTCAGCGTGGGATCCTAGCCAGTAGTGCAAGCCAAGCACAGCCTGCCAGGCTGACTGGGCAGAATGAGCCCAGTGGGCCCAAGCAAAACTCAGGCAAACATGCCACTGGTCACAGAGGTTTCCGGATGGAAAAGCAACACCCTAAGGAACTCAAGACAGTAGTATCGCCAAGATTTTAACTTTAACTTTGCGAAGTCACAGAATACCCTCTTAATTACCATGCTCTATATCCTCCTAGCCACTCTGTAGAACAAAGTTCAGACAAAACAAATAGTAACATGATTGAAATGGAGATTGGCAGGATACTAGAACAAGCAGATATCAAGCTACTTCAGAACAATATCCTCTTAGTTGTCATATCTAAGAGAAAAAGTAAATAAGCTCATAATAAAATACAGAGAACAAAAAAGCTGAGAATGTATGATTAATATAATATCAATTTGAGAAAATGCTACATTTAAAACTAGTTGTCAGTAGAAGCAGGAGTAGAGAAAGGAAGAGAATACAACTCTATTAAGTCAAGTTTCAGGAAGAATTTTCCAGTCGGAAAAAATAAGAAAAGTTATTAGGGAAGTAATAAAGGGTCATTTCTAGAAGATATAAAAACCTCTGCATGTCTATCTATTAACTAAAAAAAAAAAGTCAACCCTTTCATCTTGAAAGAGAAAGAGATTCATTTAAATAATCCATTATTAAATGCATCTCTTTCTCTTCCCAAGGCCCCAATAATGTTATGACAAAGTAACACCAAGAATGTGAAAACCCATAGAATTGTAACTATAAAAATTGAGACATTTCAGCCCACTTTTAGTGGATCTAAAGTGAGTTTAAGAGGTAGGAACCATTTAGTAGAGTCAAAAACGATAAAACCTGAAATTCTCTAGAGTAGGAGGTTAATGAATGGTGAAAGAATCTGAATATGGAAGCAAAAATTGCCATGGAAAGCAGGGAATGAGGCAAGATTATAAAAACACAGAACCTATTTTTTTCCCCAGGACTCTTATCCTTACCTGAAGTACACAGGTTCCCTTTCTGTTTGAGATTTGAGATCAGTATTTTATTTGCTAAATAAATATGGAGCAGAGGATCCAGACTTGACTCCCCAGGTGTAAGAGAGGAGTGAGACACAAAGCTGGAAAAAAAGAAATAAGAAAAGTTATTTTATCTTTCAGTTTCTTCTCATCATCCCTAAGCTCTCCCACATCTCATGGAGGGACATAACCCCCTCTTTTCAAATTAGCCAGTATCCTACCTTTAGCTATGGTCCTACATTTATTGTCTGTGTAATTAATGAGAGAAATAAGATGGTAAATAACTTTCAAAACGGAGAGTATAGCTGTAACAAAGTCTTTGAAAGCAATTGACATACAAAAATTCTACAAATAAAAGTAAGTTCAAATAATAAAATAGTACATTATTTATAGACTAATGCTTTTCCCATTCCACTGTATTTTAAAACTATGTACCCAAATGCCATGCTGGAAAGAAATGTTAGGGAAATGTCAGCAGTAATTCAGTGGGTCCATGAAAGGGCTTCAACTTAGCAGGATACCTCTCAAATTATATGCAGGATCATATTTGTATTTTCATAGTGATAGTTTTCGTAAGAGTATCTCTAAATGAATTTCAAAAATAATTCTTACATTAAAAAGTTTTTTTTTTTCCTTTAGGCAATTTTTTAATACAGAGGCTATCCATGAAATATGTATATGTCTTCAGTTGCTGTTGAAAGCAAGATCAGCTACTCCTCTCTCTGAAAAGTATTTTACTTCATCTTCATTCTTGAAGGATATTTTTGAGGCATCTAGAATTCAAGGTTGGGAGTGTTGCTGTTATTGTTCTTTTTGTGTTGTTTTGGGTTTTTATTCAGCATGTTGAGAATATCATTTTACTGTTTTCTGACTTTTATTGCTGCTATTGACGAGTCACCTTTCAACTTAATATTTTCCCTTGGGCCATTTTTAAGAATTTTTTTACGGTGTATTTGATGAGGTACAGTTTTATTATGTTTCTAGTTGTGGATTTATTTTTATTTCTTTTTTTTGCTGAAATTACTTAGGGTCCTTGACTCTATGGATTTCTGTTATTGACCATTTCTGAAAAATTATCAGCCACAATTTTTTTTTTTTTTACCCTTGGCTGGTAACATTTATTATTTGTGTCCTATTTCTTTTTTTTTTTTTTTTCTCCTCTTAGGACTTCAGTTGAAATTATGTTACATTTTCTCACTCTGTCCTGTATATACTTTATTCTCTTGCTGTATTTTCCTTTTATTTCTTTGTCTCCCATGCTTGTGGTGTTTTTTTTTTTTTACAGTGTAAACTTAGCTTAGCTAGAAATATGTTTTCCATATGTGCTTCCCTATATGCTTCCAGGTTATAGTGGGACAAAATAGAAGTTTGTAAATGATTTAGAAAGTGGAGAGGAAGCAACAGTCATAACCTCTGTTGGCTGTTTTGGTGTTAGGCTGTGAGAACCAGAAGCAGCCACTCTCAGAGAAGCAAGTTCGAAATTAACCATACTCTTCCCAGCTCTGCATTTGTAGTATTGACCTGCTAGCCCTGTTGACCAAGAGTGACCTCAGGCCCACTCCATCTCAGACGGAAAGGCAATACCCTGACACAGATGTCTCCACCAGCTTTCCGTAATGGTCCCATTCTGCAAGTCAGCCATGCCTGGTTTCTGGTATCTCTGGCAAGCTCTAATTTGTCCACCCTTACTGGTTCTTCAGAGAGGAGGGGAGCAAATTTTTCTGTTCTTCTAACTCACTCATTCTGACCCTTACTTACCCAGTGTCTTGCGCAGTTGTCTAAAATGTTAGTGCTATAATCAAGTCCTATTCTACGTTACTTACAGTGGTAGTGCTCATGTGGTTGAACTTTGTCTGTACTGTGTACTGTTTCACTGCACTCGTTTTAGAACACTAACTTTACATTCTTGTATATAATTAGCTATGAGGTCTATGCAGTGAATTTTTAATTAATTAAATTTTGGAGTCCTTTACGTTCTTTGTATCCTTTTTTACACCTGTAACATCACATTTTATTTCCCTGTTTCTGCTGATATCCTTTACTTTTGTCTTTGATTTCTTTAACTTAAAAAGCGTAAGAGTTTCTTCTGTCCTGAACTCCTGGGCTCTAGTGGTCTTTCTAGCCTGGAATTAGTCATCTCACAGAGTGATCCATGAAAAGATTTAGAAACAACTGAGCTCAAACCACAGCTTAGACCAGTTCCTAAGTAATAAATAAGTTCTCTTTGTTTAACATCACACTAGATTGTAAAGTCCTTATAAAAAACAGATTTGCTTATTTTATCCATAACTGAATATATAGGACCTAGAGGAGCTCTGAGTGTCTGAGAGGTACTCAATACATATTTGTTGAATAAAAGCATGGCCAAAAAAGGATAGAATTGTTTTCAATAGGATGATTTCAATAGGATGTACTTCTGGATCTATTTTTGTTGTTGTTTGTGTTTCGGTGGGTACATGCTTTTGGTGTGTTTTTACTTTATGTACCTGGCTATCTTTGATTGAGCTAAGCATTATACATAATTAGTTGTACAATTAAGCATAATTAAGCATTGCATAATTATTTGTAGGAATAATTAGAGGACCGAGATGAAGGAAAGCCTTCATCCAGAGAGGATTTCTGTTTGTTTCAGTCATTGGGGGCATTACTTGTCCTCGGTCACATTCAACAGTTTGAATACCTTAGATTACTGAAGGCTCCAGACTTTTAAAATTAGGCTACACTTCTTCAAGAAAGCCAATCATTTTATTTTTTTTAATTCACCTTTGTCCCAAAAATGTATTAGGTAGCAACATATTGTGGGACATTTACCTGTTAGACTCTTCATTTTGTTCTATATTTTTTAACTATATATATGTCAATATAAATATTCACATTTATGTAACTAACAAATACTTCTACTGGTTCTAGCTTTCCCTTTGATTTCAGTCTAATAATTATTTCTTTTCTTACAAGACCTGCAGTGATTTTAAGAAGATACTTTTAAATATATGTTATGCAGATTTTTAGACTTTTTAATAGAAGTGTTTGTACAAACAATCCTGCCATTATGGGAAACATCTAGCCTCCAGAAAATAACTTTCAGAATAATTTAGAGAGTTTTGATTAAGAATGCAGACAGGAGGCAGGACTAGCTTGCAGCTCCTGCTTGGACAGACAGAGCAGTGTGTGGAGACTCACATCATACAATTTTGCTCCAAGAAATACCACAGGAAAATACCAGGAAAGCTGAGAGAATTCTCTGACCTTTTGAAGGAATTGGATTGCTACCGCAGGCTCCCTGAGATGCCAAAAAATTGTGAGTGTACTTGCTTTCTCAGTAGGGAGGCTGGCGGTCTGGGGCAAGTTCTCAGCCCTGGTCACTAATTGCCTAAAAATGGACTCAGTGCTGTTGGGGGGACACAGTGGGAGTAAGACTGGCCTTTAGGACTGTGGGCTGTGTGGGAGCAGGGTGAGTCCTGTGACTGCTGACTTTCCCCCACTTCTCTGGTGACCTGTATGACTCAGCAGAGGCAACCTAATACACCTGGGAATATAACTCCATTGGCCTGGGAACCAAATTCCCATTCCACACACAGCAGCCGCAGCAAGCCCCACCCAAGGAGAGCCTGAACTAAAACATGCCTATCCCTGCTACCACCTGGTGATCTTTCTCTAATCAGTGTAGTTGCCAAAGATAAAGGACATAATCTCTTGGGAGTTCTATGGCCCTGTCCACTGACTGAGAAACGTGAATATTTAACCAGACATTCCTAGGGCAAGTTTGCATCCTCCCTATAGTACCGCAGCTGATGCACTCTTGAAAGTGCCATCTCCTGCCTGGAGGGCAACCAACACAAAACCAGCGCACTGAACAAAAATACAACCAAAGACCCTCACAGAGTTCACCTCACTCTGCTACTATCTTCACCAGAGCAGGTACTGGTATCCACAGCTGAAAGACGTGAAGATGAATCACATCAGAGGACTCCCCAGTACCGGCCCAGAGCTCAGTACCTCTGCTTGGTTGCTAGATGCAAAAGAGCAAAAACAATCACTGAAGTTCAGCTCTCAAGAAGCTCTTCCCTAGGGGGAGGGGAAGAATCCACAACAAGGGAGCACCTGGTGGGACAAAAAATTCTGAACAGCAGCTCTTGAGTCCCAGATATTCCCTCTGATATAATCTACCCAATGAGAAGAAAACAGAGAAACAATTCTGGTAACATGACAAAACAAGTTTTTTTTAACACCCTTAAAAGATCACACTAGCTCACTAGCAATGGATCCAAACCAAGATGAAATCTCTGAATTGCCGTAAAAAAAATTCAGAAGGTTGATTATTAAACTAATCAATGAGGCATCAGAGTAAAGTGAAATCCAGCTTGAAATCAAAAACATGAAACAGATTATTAAAGAAAAAACCTTCAGTGAAATAGATAGCATAAATAAAAACAATCACAACTTATAGAAATGAAGGATACACTTAGAGAAATCCCAAGAGTGCTGGAAAGCCTCAGCAATAGGATAGAACAAGCAAAAGAAAGAACTTCAGAGCTTGAACACAAGGCTTTCGAATTACTCATACCATCGAAGACAACAAAGTAATAAATAAATGAACAAAGCCTGCAAAAAGTTTGGGACTATGTTAAGCATCCAAACCTAAGAATAATTGGTGTTTCAGTGGAAAAAGATAAATCAAAAAGTTTGGAAAACATACTTGAGGGAATAATCAAGGACAACATCCCCAGCCTTGCTAGAGATCTAGACATCCAAATACAAAACACTCAAAGAACACCTGGAAAATTCATCACAAAAAGATCGTTGCCTAGGCACATAGTCATTAGGTTATCTGAAGTCACGACGAAGGAAAGAATCTTAAGAGCACTGAGGCAAAAGCATCAGGTAACCTCTAAAGAAAAACTTATTAGATTAACAGCAAATGACTAATATGCAGAATCTACAAATAATTCAAACAAATCAGTGAGAAAACAAACAAACAAAAAAACTCATCAAAACGTGGGCTAAGGACATGAATAGACAATCCTCAAAATAAGATATACAAATGGCCAGCAAACATAGAAAAATGCTCAACATCACTAATTATCAGGAAAATATAAATCAA